TTGCACGAATAAATTGATATATGTGGTTAGGATAGAAAAAGCCGCCTTCAGAAAAGAAACGTACCCATCTGTTATGGGCGGTACCACTTAGTGTTATATTTGAAAGGTTACTTTCCACGACTGACGATTCATGAATTTCCTTCCTGGTCCACGATCTCCAGTCCAGAAGTGTCCCATTTCCGCGGCTTCCCAGTGAGTGAAAGGAACGCCTCAGCAGCCACTGGCGTGCCACCCGTGAAAGATGCTTCACCCATCTGAGGAACAGATGTGCCAGCAGTCCTATGTCTATAAACAGGTGCGACGCGGTGTTGTTTAAGAGAGGCCTTTTGACATATTTTGTCTTCCAGCTCGTATTCCTGTTCCCTCACACATAGTCTGTGGTCTATCACGGCGCAGCAATGTCTCGAATGTTAGAAGAATGATTTGATCCTAGGGTTTTACCTCGAGCGCCTTCGACGGCTGTGCACACTTTCTTATAGGCTGGTAAGTCGATTAGCACCTTGAAAATCATATTTGAACACTAACGCAGCAGAACTGTAAGAGGTGTCTTCAAGTTATCGAAAAGATGAGGCCTGAATTACTATTCTTCCATCACAATGGAGATGACCAAAGTTTCTGAGAAAGACAAAGAGACTCTCGCAATAAGGTGAAAATCAACAATCAGTGATGTGCAACAGTATAATTCTGGCAGTAGAGAACAAGTTGCAGTGCACTATGTCAGTTAAACAGTATTACTCATACCAAGTAAATATTAATTACGGGCTTCTATTGGCCGACTACACATTCGATCTAGCTTACAGATTTATGTATTTGATGGCGTCATGCGCGCGGACTACACGCGTGCCTGTAAATGAAGCGCGTGCTGCGGTCCTAAGCCTGCTCTGTCTGTTACGATTCGATCGCCCTACTGCACCTTATGAGCAGCCCACTACAAGAAAAAAGCTTCCGCCTAAAATTATGGACGCCTATGTCGAAGCCAACCGCAGCTCGGGCGAGAGCCGAGCTCAGAGAAGGGAGGAGAGCACCGCGTCGAGCCGCTACGATCCGACTTGGTATTTATTATATTACATCAAAGGAAAAGGGGGAAGTCGGAACTTGGACGGGAGTTGGAGGACTCGGGTGGACCGTTACATCTGAGGTTACTGCACGTACCACTGTCCTCCTCGGCGTCTTCCAGTTGCCTTGCGCCAGGCTTCCAGGATACCGCTATTTCGCGGCCACACCCATCCAGGTCGTGGACCGACATCTCCATTCTGAAGTGAGTCGTCTTCGAGCTCAAGCACATGACATTCAATGTCCTAGAGTATGAGGGTAAAATACATGCCTAACTGATTGAAACGATAAACAATGATAAGATTAATGGATGAATGCAGGTGAGGTCAGAGAGTTACGCGAAAGATAACACGTCTTCGCCTCACAACAGCAGCTTGTCGTTCAACTACACGAGGAGATACAATTCTTTCACACAGGAGATGGTGGTCAAGACGCCAGGAAAAAATAGGCACAGATTCCTGTTCATCTTGGAACGGTTTCGTATCAGAAAGAGGCCGCCGTTCACTCCTCCTTTCAGTTACGTAGGTCTGTCCTCGAAGCTATTGGGTTTCAACAGAGGATTGCCGATTAGACCGAGCAAAGACGGTTCCCCGTTGTAAAATGTATAATCAAATTGAAAGTGGCTAGAAGAAACTTACATACACAAATTTGAATTGCCCTACCCTACAGTTATTCTTATACACTTTTTTCTATTACAGATAATTGTCGAGCATACAAAAAACAAAGACATCGAGGAAACGAGAGTCTACTGTTAGACAACCGGATAGTTTCACCTATAGAAAATGAAATGTATAGCCTTTTTCTCGAATGAATTGTTAATGGGCCAATATGTATTTACATACGATCATCTTGTATTTGGCCAAATAAAAACATAAATCACATTAGACATCAATTCCTCAAAAATTTACGAATACTAGTCTTGCCTGAACCGAATTTTGGAGTTCAACTAGTATAAGCGTGTTATACAAGCTAATGTTTTTTAATTCAGCGAAAGGAGCGTGCCTTATCATTTCTTTGAACGCCAAACTCAGGAAAATGAGGGAATTCGCGACGAGCAGCCGTCAGGTATGTTGAATTAACTTGCAAATTGCTTTGTAGTAAAACAGACAACGCTATTACTGCTTTTACTCGCGTTGCATGTGGCCAAATGTTTCGCCTTCCTGCATATCGCGAGAACGCCGATTAGAGGTTGTTGTCCGACAGACGATCTTTCCTGTTGTCTGTTACGGAGGTGCGTGTGCTTGGCATTTTGGTGGGAAACATCATGGCAAACAACGAGGGACCAGCATACAAGCTTTACGGCGCGTTGACATGTACTACTTGTCGCACAGAGCGACCTACATGGTATTGCTTATTGTTCACATTCGCGTCCACCTATTGAACTTCAACCTTCAACGCGACCTTTACACATTGGTTCGTTAGTTTCGGACGAACTGTGTCGTCATTAACAGCCACCAAATCTCAACGGTAAAGGGCCTCGCTTGTGGGCATACCTTCGTGAATGTCAGTCCATCCCGAGTTGATATCTCCTATAAGTCTTAAAATCTAAGAGGAGTGCCTTAAAAGTCCAGACTATCTTTGCTTAGGCGTTCCTAATTATATTTTTTACCGTTATTTCATCCCTCGAATCATCTAGTAAGAATATTCATCTTATTAACACAACCTATCCGCGCAGCGAAATCATGTAGAATAGCATGCAACCAGTCGTCATCCTTGCACTGATACGTCACATGTCAGTGCCGGCTGCGTGACGTCAAATCGGGCGGCAAGGGCGAGTCGCACTCCGCACCCGTACTGCCACAACGTATACGTTGAACCAGCGAAGTGCACATTAGTGTATTATAGTCCTTCGGTGGTTATCGCTTTTCTATCACTTTTTGTGGTGACGCTGAGGCAGTCTCATGGAGTATGTAACTCCAGTGTAATTGGTGTCTACCCGCATGACATTGACGAGAAGTCAGCGGCGACTTAACCTGTCGTTTCCAACGCCAGCAAATTAAAGCGCTTTGCGGATTATGTAATCGCGTAGACGAGGCTTCAGAATACGCTGGACAAAATCTGACCATCGGTGTCGTGTGCACGCTCCTTTATTGCCCCCGCCCCACAGCTCTCATGCCTGAGCTATCAGGGAGTCCGTAATCCCCCCCTCATTTCACACAGAAGTCTGCTCTCAAGTCTGGTTGTTCATGATAGTGCGCTACTGTGGTATTCGTACAACGTTGTATTCAAACGAGTTGTATTCCTCACTCACCTCCTATCTGAATGTTTCTTTGCCAGATCAACGTTTCTACACCGCACAGGAAAAAATGTTCACTCGCCGTTGCAGCGAGTATCTTTTGTTTGCTGCCCCGCCAACCAAAAATCGGCAAGTGCTTTGGTAATATTCAGCAATACACTCGCTAGTTGCTAATTCGAACCACGATGCCTGAAAACTATTACGTTAGGGATTCTGCTGGCTTGCTTCGACAAGAGTCCATATCAGCAATTAGGCATCTGCTTTTACTACGTATCATAGTCTGATCTTTTAGCGAGGCTTGCAATTTTACTCCATACAATCTGGTATTTACATCATGATCTCCCCAAAACATTTTCGGTTACGAGGAGAATAAATTTGACTACCGGCACACTCTGAGTTCTAGGCTGTAGAGCAGAACCAATTGTACTATCTCGTGCTGAACACCTCTTCAAAGGCGTTCTCGTCTGGCGCGTGGCGGAAAGGTTTCTCATTTCCTCCGTGGTAACTGATCATAGCATTCAACATCTTTTGAAGGTGTTGTTCACGCTTTTGGCAGATTGAGGTCGGCACAAGTTATTTACTTATTATGTGTAGAAGTCTTTGTATACTTAAAAGTCTAACCACAGCGGTTGCAACAACACACTTGATAAAGTTTGATATGCACCTTTGCTTCGGCTATAAGCTGATTTCGCGTGCTTTTCTAATTACTAGTATCGGCTTCTACTATCATCTTATTTGTTTGGCTATTCGGAAGATGCTGATCCGAGATTGGCGGCGAGCGTGCAGCCAGTAGGCATGTCCATACATGAAATGTTGCGTCATAACAGCCTCGTAATAATAATCCTTTCTCTCGAGCCTTTTTTGCTTGGGCTAACTTGCGTATTGACTCTGCCGTTTTACACAGCGAAAATAAGCGGTGAAGTGGTACAAGTCAACGAGTTAATTACGAAGGATGATATGATACAGTAACTTTCGCGACTCTTGTCTCCTCTCGCTATCAATACAGAAATCGCTTATGCATTGAGAAGTTTTTCAGTTTGCTTTGGAATTCACTTTGAATTTCTTTGCGTTGCTTAAATCTCTTCAAGAGATCGGGAACGCATTGCGCTTCTATCGCATTGATGCTGTGCCCCGCATGTTGCAAGATTAGACCGATTGGGATAAGATCGCAGACAGTATCTACAGTTGTTTTGCCAAAACCGCCACCAAAGCACTTAGAGCCTGCCGCCACTATAGTTCGCATCTCTCTCGCGATACATCCGCATCGCGTCCGCAATTGATGTTATAGATAGCTGTACTTCGTGTTTACAAATGTGATCCTAGCGGACCATATCCATTGCCTAGAGCTCTTAGCACTCGATAATATCAATGTCCCTATTGTTCCAATATACAGGACCTCATTTTCGTAAGGACTTGACTCGTGTGATGATAAATCGAACTAATCCTTGCCATAAGAAGCGATATGCTATTTTGCTTTGCGGTTGGCCGAAACTATATGAAACCTTGTCGTACCCCTGTGTTTAACCAGGATGAGATACGCTGCGTATGCGTGATTGGGCAAGGTTTCGGCCAGCCATGTACTACTCTCTCATGCCCATAAGTCATCCTCTAACGTTGCGATACTCATATTGCGTGATTCTTCTCACGTTTTAATGTGGTTTACTTCATTTGCGTCCAAACTGCACTTTTGACGCTGTGCATAAGAGAAGTTCTATTCGGCGAGCGAAAGCTTAGCCTGAGGTGGAGATCGGCCGAGGCATCTTCAAATGCCAATTAAAGACATCTGGTCACAACTAAGGTAGAGCTCATAGATGACCTTGACGGGACTGAGTTCACGCTTTTACGTGAGCCAAACCGCGAGGAGAGCGACTGTCGAGAGTAGCCAAGAAGAAGAGCGCCGAGCCGTCTGCGATGACGTCGTTCATATTCCCTCAAAATTAACTCGATCTATTCATGAAGTGAGTTGTGATACGTTTGAAAGAACTGACTAAAGGTATACAAGTCAGTTACCTACCGACTATATACACTGTCACGATCATCATCACGTGATATTCTTATTTGAACCATGACAGTCCTCTTCAGTGATGGCCGGCATCTGCTCCACCTCCCACTCAGCGGCATGACCGGATATGCTTCGAAGACATTATCATACATTATATAATTCAAATACCTAATTAATATTTTGCTAACTCCATAGCCATTGTTGAGCCGACAAACGGATCTGCACGATATTTGGACGCTCCCTGGGTATACGGTAGTTCGGCACTGATCGAATCCCAAAAGAGATCTTGTGTCTTCTCCAAAAGGACAAATCATTGATTCAGCCACTTTGAGCCATCCAACATAGAAAAAGAATTGGAACATTGAAAATACTGGCACATAGAAATCAATCGAGTGCGCTTTGGGCACTTTGGCGTCCTGCAAACGAAAATCAGCCGTTGAGAGCGACAATGTTTTTGTTTATTACAACTTGAGCAGATCTGACCATGCACCTATTAGGTCATCCCATTCAAAAGTGCCGAGACATGTAGAGGAATAACAGAAAAGCAAAGCGGATAGGGCAGCGGGCTAGTATACCATCTAAAAACTAGTACCTTTAGCTATGCAACTGTGAAATTTAGCCAACCTACCCACAGAGGAAGTCCTCGAGAAATTGAAAAGTAGCCTGAGTGGTGAAAATCAGCAACCATCAGAGGAAAGTGCGCTGTTCAAATTTGACCTGCGCCGGGCCAGTAGTTGGCGCAATCGTGTTCTCGACATACAAGGTGTAAGGTTTGTTTCAGGAGCTCGAAGAAGGAAGAAAGGAAAAAAATTCGTGTCGTGGATGGTCCCATAATGTTCATCCTGCCCAAGGAAAAAGGGTGGATGAAGTCGAGCGCTGAATGTCTGATCACAGAGCCGGGACCTTTGTCGAGCTTCCTCGCGAGACTAAAAGCTCTGCTTCAACTGCTGCCCGAGTTATGTCCGATAACCTGAGGATGGTCATTAAGGTCTGCGCATAGGTACCTAATTTTATTGTAGAAGCCCGATCGCAGTACCGATTCTATGCCTCTAGCAGTAATGTTCTCAGCATGAGATGTCATTCACAACTGTGCAAACGTACCCCAGCCCCAAATGAAATGTGGGTGGTCTTGAACCTCGAGCCAAAACTCACAATAGTCAATTTGGTATGAATGCAGATGAGAAGCCGCTCGAGGTATACCATGAGGAGTTACGTGGGAGCAAGTGGATGATCATCATAGCGAAAGATTCCCACACTGTGGCTTTTAGGCGGCTCTATACATAGAATAAAGTCGTCGCTGGCGGTTTATATTGCCTGTTCGTCGGCAATCAGCATCACTTAGGCATTAATTTCAGAAAATGATCTAGAGTTGGAGATAGGGACACGGCACGTGAGGTGACAACAGCTGATAGGGGCTGATAAGTAACGTTGCCAATGTTCAGTCAAATTGCTGGAGCCTTTACACTACCAAATTGTAGAGTTTTAGTGATAGGGACATTGATGACGGGTGACACGATCTTATCAATTGATAAGAAAGGATAAGGAACCGTTATCATTACCTATCTCACTATACCCCAAGTATCGAAGGCTCAGTGTGCATACTTCTCCTTCAGCCATCACTTCCCTGACAGTCCTAGAAAATGAACTCATCCCACTATATAATGCCGATGTCGACGAGCGGAGGGGGGTCTCTAGTTCGCCTGAAACAGGAATCTCAGGAAAATTCGAGGAGAACCGAAAAACCCGAAAAACACGAGCGGAAGGCTACTAATTGTAAAAGAAAGCGTTCATCGGTAGGCAATCCGGTGCAGGTAATGGAAACGAAATCGTGCCTATTTCACTGAGCGATTCATACTGCGCTCTATTGGCCGACTACACATTCTATCTATCTACAGATTTATGTATTCTATGGGCGTCATGGCGCGGACTACACCGCTGCTGTAAATGGAAGCGCGTGCTGGGATCCTAAGCCTTGCTCTGTCTGTTACGATTCGATCGCTACAGCACCTTATGAGCAGCGCACTACAGAAAAAGTTCCGCTAAAATTATGGAGCCTACTGTCGAAGCCAGGCCAGCTCGGCGAAGCCGAGCTCAAGAGAAGGAGGAGAGCACGGCGTCAGCCGTACGATCCGACTGGTATTTATTATATTACATCAAAGGGAAAAGGGGAAGGGAACTTGGACGGGAGTGGAGGACGGTCGGGGGTGGACCGTTACATCGTGAGTACTCACTACCACTGTCCTCCTCTCGTCTTCCAGTTGCCTTGCGCCAGCTTCCAGCGATACCGTAATTTCGGGCCACACCCATCCAGGTCGTGGACCCGACATCTCCATTCTGAGTGAGCTCGTCCTCGAGCTCCAGCACATGACATTCCAATGTCCTCAGATGTATTGAGGTAAAATACATGCTGAACTGTTGAACGATAAAAATGATAGATTAATGGATGAATGCAGGTGAGGTCAGAGAGTTACCGGAAAGATAACCACGTCTTCGCTCACAACAGAGCTGTCGTTCAACTACACTGAGGAGATACAATTCTTTCAGACACAGGAGATGGTGTCAAGACGCAGGAAAAATAGCACAGATCCTGTTCATCTTGGAAACCGGGATCGGTATCAGAAAGAGGCGGTTCACTTCCTCCTTCAGTACGTAGGTCGTCCTCGAGCTATTGGGTTTACAACAAGGGATTGGATTAGACCGAGCAAACGGTTCCCCGTTGTAAAATGTATATCAAATTGAGAAGTGTAGAAGAAACTTACATACACAAATTTGAATGCCCTACCCTACAGTTATTCTTATACACTTTTTTCTATTACAGAATAATGTCGAGCATACAAAAAACAAAAGACATCGAGGAAACGAGAGTCTACTGTTAGACAACCGGATAGCTTTCACCTAGAAAATAAATGTATAGCCTTTTTCTCATGAATTTTAATGGGCAATATGTATTACATACGATTCATCTTGTATTTGGCAAGATAAAAACATAAATCACATGACATATTTCCTCAAAAATGTTACGAATACTAGTCTTGCTGAACCGATTTTGGAGTTCAACTAGTATAAGGTGTTATACAAGCTAATGTTTTTAATTCAGCGAAAGGAGCTGCCTTATCATTCTTTGAACCGCCAACTCAGAAAATGAGGGAAATTTCGCGACGAGCGGTCAGAGTATGTTGGAATTAAACTTGCAAATTGTTTTGTAGTAAAACAGACAACCTATACTGTTATTACTCCGGTTGATGTGGCAAATGTGTTCGCCTTTCCTGAAGTCGGCGGGAACGCCGGATTAGAGGTTGTTGTCCGACAGACGATCTTTCCTTTGTCTGTGACGGAGGTGGTTGTGCTTGCGCATTTTGGTGGGAAACATCATGGCAAACAACGAGGAGCATACAACTTTACGCGGTTGACATGTACTACTTGTCGCACAGAGCGACCTACAAGGTTGCTTATTGTCACATTCGGTCCACCTATTGATTCAACCTTCAACGGACCTTTCCATTGGTTCGTTAGTTTCGGACGAACTGTGTCGTCATGTAACAGCACCAAATCTCCAACGGAAAGGCTCGTTGGGCATACCTTGTGAAGTCAGTCGTATCCCGTTCTCTAGAAGGAAGACTTCTTAGCTATTTGATTTCCAACTTCTCCCGGCCGCGAACTGATCAGCGAAGTCATCGGAAGCGATGATGTGACGCTGAGGCAGCTCATGGAGTATGTAACTCCATGTAATTGGATGTCTACCATGAATGACGAAGTACGGACTGTAACCTGTCGTCGCATTGACACTGCAGTTATATGCGTAGACGATAGGCTGGACAAAATCTGACCATCGGTGTCGTGTGCACGCTCCTTTATTGCCCCCGCCCCACAGCTCTCATGCCTGAGCTATCAGGGAGTCCGTAATCCCCCCCTCATTTCACACAGAAGTCTGCTCTCAAGTCTGGTTGTTCATGATAGTGCGCTACTGTGGTATTCGTACAACGTTGTATTCAAACGAGTTGTATTCCTCACTCACCTCCTATCTGAATGTTTCTTTGCCAGATCAACGTTTCTACACCGCACAGGAAAAAATGTTCACTCGCCGTTGCAGCGAGTATCTTTTGTTTGCTGCCCCGCCAACCAAAAATCGGCAAGTGCTTTGGTAATATTCAGCAATACACTCGCTAGTTGCTAATTCGAACCACGATGCCTGAAAACTATTACGTTAGGGATTCTGCTGGCTTGCTTCGACAAGAGTCCATATCAGCAATTAGGCATCTGCTTTTACTACGTATCATAGTCTGATCTTTTAGCGAGGCTTGCAATTTTACTCCATACAATCTGGTATTTACATCATGATCTCCCCAAAACATTTTCGGTTACGAGGAGAATAAATTTGACTACCGGCACACTCTGAGTTCTAGGCTGTAGAGCAGAACCAATTGTACTATCTCGTGCTGAACACCTCTTCAAAGGCGTTCTCGTCTGGCGCGTGGCGGAAAGGTTTCTCATTTCCTCCGTGGTAACTGATCATAGCATTCAACATCTTTTGAAGGTGTTGTTCACGCTTTTGGCAGATTGAGGTCGGCACAAGTTATTTACTTATTATGTGTAGAAGTCTTTGTATACTTAAAAGTCTAACCACAGCGGTTGCAACAACACACTTGATAAAGTTTGATATGCACCTTTGCTTCGGCTATAAGCTGATTTCGCGTGCTTTTCTAATTACTAGTATCGGCTTCTACTATCATCTTATTTGTTTGGCTATTCGGAAGATGCTGATCCGAGATTGGCGGCGAGCGTGCAGCCAGTAGGCATGTCCATACATGAAATGTTGCGTCATAACAGCCTCGTAATAATAATCCTTTCTCTCGAGCCTTTTTTGCTTGGGCTAACTTGCGTATTGACTCTGCCGTTTTACACAGCGAAAATAAGCGGTGAAGTGGTACAAGTCAACGAGTTAATTACGAAGGATGATATGATACAGTAACTTTCGCGACTCTTGTCTCCTCTCGCTATCAATACAGAAATCGCTTATGCATTGAGAAGTTTTTCAGTTTGCTTTGGAATTCACTTTGAATTTCTTTGCGTTGCTTGAATCTCTTCAAGAGATGGGAACGATTGCGCTTCTATCGCATTGATGGTGGGCAGAGGATAGCGACTGGGAAAATCGCAGAATGTGTCGTGCTTACCTGCCCTATATTCGATTTTGATACATAGGCTTGTATAGCAATCTGGTATTTCGCTAGTCTACCAACCAAATCTGCCCTATGCATTAGCGATTTCAAAGGCGCGTGATCAGTAATGAGCGTTATTTTTGCGTTGGCTACGTAGGGATAGAATTGGTTCAGCGCAAAAACTATCGCCAAAGCTTCTAACTCAA